GGCGAAGGAGTCCGCCAGGCTGATTTCCTCGAACGTCCCCGCCGCCTGCTCCGCGCCGGGTCCGTCGAGCGCCGCGCCGGCCGGCCGCGTCCATGCAGCCCCGCCGGCCCCCGCCGCCCGCGCCCGGGCCCCCGCGCCCCGCCGCGCCGCTGCTCGCGCTGCCGCTGCTGCTGCTCGCCGTCCAGGGGGCGGCGGCGCCCGCGGGGCCCGAGGCCGCGGAGTGGCGCCCGGACACGGGGCCTCCGCACGGGCTCCTGCGGCAGGCGGCGCGCGCGGCGCTGCACTTCCTCAACTTCCGCGCGGGCTCTCCCAGCGCCCTGCGAGTGCTGGCCGCCGTGCAGGAGGGCCGCGCCCGGGTGAGTGCGGGGGTCGGCGCCGGGCTGAGGCCGGGGTGCGCGCCCGGGGTCGGGACGGACGCGCGCGACTCTGGGGCGACCCGGCTCGGGCCTGCGCGCCCCCCGGGGACTCCAGCGTGGGAGGGGCCCGTCGGTGCGCGGAGTCCGCGGAAAAGAGGCTCGTTCTTTCTGGCATTAACGAGGTCGCGGACTTTTCACCGGGCAGCTCCCGTAGCTGGGAAAGAGGCGCCTGGGGAAACTGAGGAACAGGCCCACACGGCAAGGCCTGATCTTGGCTTGGGGTGCCGGGACTTGGTTGCTGTGGGGGCGGTCACGGCGGGCCCGACCTGCGCCGGGTTTCCAGAACGAAAGCGGGTCCCCGAGGCGGACGGCAGAGCGGCCGTCCTGCTGGGTGCGCGAGGCGTCCGGGCGCGGCGGCCGCGATTCCCGCGCCGGCCTGGGCGGGAGCCCGCGGGGTGCTGCACGGACCCGACGGGCGTGAGCCTGGCAGCGGGTGGTTCGGTTGCTGGTTTCAAGGCACTGGGTGTAGGTGTCCTTTCGCGTCTGTGGAGCTGCATTGCCTTCTTCATCAAATGGAAGAGTGCAAAAGTTACAGAACTCCGCGGAGTCTGTCCCAAAAGTACGACGCGCTTTCCAGTAACCCCCAGATATTCCACGAAGCCTGCACACTCGGCCTCCAAGAACCTGGAATGAAGTAGGGAGTGTAACTAGGTAGTTGTAAGGAGCGGCGGCAGGCTGTTAGGTTGTTCTAGACCTGGTGGGAGGCAGGCTGGGGGAGGCGTCTGGAAGGTCAGCCGTGGTTCCTGATTTAATCCCGCACCCGGGGTCGGGGGTGGCTAGATTTATTGAGAGATGAAATCAAATTGTTCCTAGAAAAAGGCAACCTATTTTTGTCGCCTTAGTCCTTGCTGTTTCAGGGGGAAAAAAGTTCACTGTTAGTTGTGCCGCAGAGCAGACAGGGAACAGAACTCTAGAACTTTCTACCGAAGTTGGCGAGTCGCCGCCTCCCAGAGCCCAGAGAGGGTGGGTCCGGGAAGATTTGCTCCGACTACCAGCGGGGAGGCCCCTAGGGAAAGCAAGCTCGGATTTCTAAAGTACACCAGCTTTCAAATTCCGGGAATTGTTTTCTTCCTTCCAAGACCATAAAAACATAATAAAATGCTTTACACTTTCATGCATTTAGTCACTCCCTTGAAAAAAAGTTAAATACTTGGCATCGTTCACGAAATAATCAAACTAGCTCTCAAAACCGGAATGAGTTAAGTAAAAATTTCCTTTCTCATCCAAAAAGCGCTCAGTTACTGTTTTTCATCTGTAATAGTATAATGCTCCTGAATTTTAAAGATAGCCTTCTTTTTAGCCAAAAAGGAAAAGCGGGGAAGGATGAATCAGAGGCGAGCGTGCGTGAGAGAGGAGAATTTACTAGTCGACCGTCCGCCGCCCATCTCTGTACACCTGTGTTCAGATTTGCACTCGTAGCTGTGTCTATGTCTCTCTCTTTGGAAAACAGCCTGCTCTTTATGAAATAACACGTCATAAACTGCTTTATTTTTTAAAAAGCTATATATAAAAAATACTATATTAAAAAAATAGTAGACTGGTCCAGGGCATTGACCCTAAGAAAGGACAACTTCCTGTGTCATCTGGTCTCCCTTTACATTTCCTCCAAAAATGGCTATAGATGTCTTAAAATCAAGGAGCTAAGGAAGAGAGAGCTCAGTGACTTTCAGGGCCAAGAATCTCTAGGGACTAAAGGGGTTTCAGTTTCTCCCAGGAATTCAGTGAAACTTTGTCTCCATTCTCCTGCCTCCTCCAAACATCGCTGCTGAAGAGGGGCCCACTTCCCAGGGCGATCAAGGCAGCCTGGGGCAGGCTGTGCCTTCAACTTGTGGCCTTGGCAGGCCAGGACCCCTGGGTGGGGGGCAGAAGCAGAGGAGGGGGTGGCGAGAGTGAGAGCCGATTCCTACCGGGAAACTGCCATGGGCTGCCTTTCTGGAACGTAGGGGGCCAGCTGGTGGGGTGTCATAGGGGACTCAGACACCAGCCCCTGCTTTGCCTGCAACGAGCCACACAACCTAGAGAAGGTCATGTAAGTCTTCTCTGGTTGTGTCCTCATTTGGAGTGGAAATAATGCGTGTTCTGCTAACCATGCCAGGTGTTTTTAAGAGTTGTAAGAGAGGACATAAGTACCAATTGTAAAGTCTGAAGATGTGAGTGACTGTCGTCCTGTCTGAGGAGCGGTCCACTCACCCAGCACTGTGCGGGGGCCCTGGGCTAGATAGAGTGCCTGTAATTCAGGGGGGCGGGTCTTGGAGACATTTGGTGTGAAGCAGTCCCTCAGCCGCCTGAGTGAGGCGCACAGACGCCACCACCCGCGGGGCGCTTCCACTTAGGGATTTCAGGAACTTCTGCTTCAGTTACAGGAGCATCCTTAGCATTGGCAGGAAGTCAGACATGGCAGATCCCCACACCCGGGTTTGCATCTTTATCCAGTCAGTGCCTGTCACAGTTAGCACTCAGTTGCTCGATCGTTCCTCCAGGCTGAGCCAGGGGAGCAGGTGGCCCAGTGGGTGAGGGCGTCGCTGATAGGGCTGCCTCTCCATCCTCGGGGTCAGCACACCCCTTTGTAAGATGAGAGGCTGCGACCAAGTCAGCGTTTTTCAAAATAATGGCCTGCTAGTGGGTTATGAAATCAACTTAGTAGTTACAGTTGTTTGTTATTGTAGTTGTTTGTTTGCTTTTAATGAAATAGTTTGTGATACAGACTATTGAGTGCATTGTGGAAGAAAAGGTAAGTAGTACCTCAGAATGTTTTGAAGATATATGTATGAACTAGGTCATTATGAATAATGCAGTTCTTGCTGTGGGTTTCAGCTATAAAAATTTTGAAAACCAGAGAACCAAATGATTTTTAAGAGCTCTTCCAGCTCTGAAATTCCTTGGTTCTGAGCGCTTTCTTGGTTCTGCGAGAATCGCTCATTTTAGAAACACTGTTGCCCTCTAGTGGCGAAATGTGGTAATAGCACGGTGGTAAATGCAGGGAAGCGTTGAGGAGAAATCCGCGCTAGCTGGGCTGCAGCCAGTGAACTGCCGTTTTGTTTTGTTTACTAACTGTAGACAGAGATCACAGACGTGGTTGCCTTCCCTCACCACCCGCGTGTGCCATCTCTTTCCTGGCCTCACACCACCGTCCCACGACCAAGGAGGCTGCTGCTTTTCCGACGTCATGTGGCGCAGCCCCAGGGCCCACAGGGTGCAGCGGTGGGAGATTTGGGGTGGTGCTGAGAGTCCCGGTGCTCCCCAGGGTGTCCTGGATCAGCCCGGTTCCCGACTTCTGGACAGCTCTCCTCTGGCCACACATTAAGTCCTGGGACCGCTGGCCCCTGCCGGAGCAGCCAGTGAGAGGCCAGCCCTTCCCTCACGCCTGGAGATCCCTGTGTGCGCATCCTTCAAGAGAAAGGCGGCCCATTCAGGCATCAGCCGTCTCTGGGGATTGGTCACTTGAGGGGAATGCCTCTGACCAGGCCAGCTCCAGAAGTTAGAAGCATAACTGAAACAATGGACCACAGTGTGGGGGGAAGTTCTGCCCATGCCTTAATTGCTTCCATTTAGATTAAAATCGGTAAGGGTAAATGTAGCTCGGGGTCGAGGCCATCATTGGCCGTCCTCACAGCCTTTAGCAAGAAGGCGGGCCCTCACGGATCATCTCCCATTTCCATTTTGCTTTACTTGCAATGGAGGGAGCACTTGCGATGAATACAGTGCATAATCTCCTACTTTTACCTTTTTTTTTCCTTCTTTCTTGCCCAGTCTTGACTCACCCACACCCAATTCAACAGCAAGAGTTTTAAGAGACTTGACTTAGTTCTTTCTAGAGATTTAAGGTGTATTTTGTGGACGTGACATCTTTTTCGTGCCCACTCTTCACCAGTTTACATAGCACTTAATTATGCAATTAGGTAGTAAGTACACTTGGCACGAGCTAGTTTGGGAGCAAAGCAAGTGACTTTGGGTGAGCATCTGTGCCCCGTGCAGGCGTCTGGGCTGCTGTGGGCTCTGCCCGCTGCGGTTCCAACAGCAGAACAGAGCCCCTGGGCTGAGCCACAGGCGGGAGGAGAGCATGCTCTGCTAAGGAGGACTTCTTCGCTTCATCGCTCTTGTCTCTAAAGCACTTTAATACACCGTAATTCATCTGCTTTCTGCTCTTCTTGAAGCCTTGTCTCCATTAACGTCAATAATTCAGAGGTGATGGTTTGCAAGGAAGCAGAGCAGGCTCTGGAGACAGAAACTGAAGAATGAAGAAGGCTGCAGTGAGTGTGGAGGGGAAGATAAGCAACACAACAGTGACCGGAAATAAGCTTTACTTCCAAGGAAGGCGCCTAAGTGCTTTTACAGCCGTCTGGAAAGAACAGTCGGGATTGACCACGCACGGGGAGCACCGCACGGGGAGCACCGCACGCTGACCCGGGGTGGAGCACAGCAGCCCTGAGGGTGCGCGCAGCACAGGAGGCACAGCCTGCCTTCCTCCCCGGCACAGCTCCCACCGCAGCACCCGCCGGTCTGCAGGCTCTGGTTGCAGAGTCTGGGTCTAGCATCGGGTGGGAAAGGCCACCTGGTCCTGGGCACTTTGCCCCAGTCACCCGGATGAGCCAGCAAGTAGGAATGTTTTTAACCAGCTTGTAATAAATTGTTTTTGAACCGCAGACATTTTTATGAGCCCATAACAATTTTCTGCTTCTCTTGCCACATGCGGTGTCATGGCCGGGGATGCGTGTGATCATGGAGCATTAGCAGTGGCCCCAAGTAAAACCCACTGGTCGTGGGTTGTGAATTTAACCAGGAGCCTGCCATGGCCGCACACTCTCCCTTGAAGGACCTTGGTCGTTCTGCTGGAGATCGAGGGTAAACGCTGAGCGCTGGAATGACTGACAGCAGCCAGGCATGGGGCGCTAATGCACGCACACAGCCTGGCCTGTGAGCGCCGTGTATGGGCCCTGGGT